TTCGGACGTCTTTCAAGAGGATGGAGGCTTTTCAATGAGTTGGAAGTTTGTTTAGATTATCCTCTTAATAAAGAGCTATATTAGGTCTCTGTTCTTCTGCCTTTTTTGGTGGGCTGGCCTCCGGGACATGCTAGTAGCCCCAATACCTTCTCTGTGTTTGGTATGTATATTCTAGCAAGAAATTAACTTTTGTTTATCTTTAAGGAAGGTTTTTGGCGCCTCAACTGTAATTCCAGTTCCTTCGACATCTTTAGTCGTCTGTTATTAAATATTCCGGGTAAGGACACCACTGGCACTGTCAACATGGCAAGCTCCGTGCAGACGTGTGTGTATTAATTTTCATTTGTGTAGTACGATGTTTTTTTAATCTCTCGGTATTGGCGTGCAGTCGCTTTTGACTTTTGAGTCGGCTTTTGTACCACATTGGGTAGGCTGGCCTTCGGGTTATCCCGGTAGCCCACACAGCTTCTTTGTGCCTAATACATTTATTCTGCCCGATTGTCATGTCTTCTCTTGTCTTCAGGGAAGTCTCGGGACGCTATATTTGATGTAGTTGAAAAAACCTCACCATTTGCATGATATACAAATTTTGAATAGTATGGTTTTTCATAGAGACATGAAAATAAATGTCGCTGAAATTACTAATGATGAGCGCATATTAAATTCACATTATTAGATTTCATTATATAATCGGAAACTTTCTTAGTATTGCATAGTTTGTGTAAAAAAATAACTTAGATTTCACAGGAGGCACAAATCGCGATTTTGATTTTTCTTATTAATAAATATTTGGGGATCTAATATTGCCCTTATGACTAATGAAAATTATGCGCACTTTTTCTGGTGGTGTGCCCTTTCGGGATTTTACCTCTGCGTAATTTGTTTTCATTTCGTTTTATATCTTCTTCAAGCATAAGGTATGCTTTACGACACGTCTTAAATGTGTGCGGCATATGGTGGTTTTAAGTTACAACGCATGTAATTGCTAAATACTTGAGAACGCTTATCATTTAATAAGTTCATATCTTCCCCTTCACCCACGTTACTGTTCTGCTACATTGTTCTTACCTCGTTCGTACCTCTTACCTCGTCTTTGCAATTTTAATTTATTCAGCTGTTTTGCATAATTTACGACAGAACAGGTTGTTTCTTAATCTTCCGCCCAAAGGTTCTCGTTTGTTAGGTTTTTTAGTCGATTTTACATGATTTTGGAGTATAGTAAGTTTGTTACACTGATGTACTTCTTTGTTATCTTTGCTTTTCTTGTTTACCTTTTAGTTTTAACCTATGCAGAAGATATTCAGCATCGAGACCTATTTGGGTCCGTTGTTGATGCGTTATATTGGGAAGTATGTTAAATTGCGTGATGATCAATTTCAACTCTCGCTTTGGGGCGGCGATGCTGTTCTTAATTACGTGGAGCTACAGTATGACATCTTTGAGGACCTGATGCCCTTACAAGTTTGCTTCAAATCGGGGCATATTCATGAGCTGCGAATCCATGTGCCTTGGACCCACCTCGGATCTTCTAGCGTTGTCATTACTCTCAACACTGTCGAGTGCGTGCTTGCTTTTAAGCGCCCCGGTGAGCACCGGCAGCGACACCGATTAGAGGCCGAGACCTTCACACCCTCTGACACACCTCAGCCGCCCAGCTACCTCCTATCCTACCTTACCCGCATCTGGTCTAACATCGAGGTGGTGGTGAAGAATCTCATTGTCAAGTTCGTTGAAGGTGACGCTGTTATATCTCTTAACATCCGCTCACTTGACTGTTTCCCTACTCTCCTCAACTGGCAACGCGGTGTGGAGGTGCAGTCCTCCGGCAATTATTGCCTCCATCGTCTCCTCAGGCTAACTGATATGACTCTTTGCATCGATAGATGTGATGCCAAGGGGCACATTAGTACCTACCAAGACCCGGTAATTTACCGCTTCAGCTTTGACATCCGGATACAAACGGTTTTCACTCAGAATAATAAAGGACTGGCCTCAATTTGTGTAGCAAACCTCTTTAGCCCCCGGCTATTGGAGATCAATCTCAATCATGTGCAGATACCCTTGATCACGCGGATCCTTGAGATTTTGGTTGCACTCTCAAACGATATCATTCGATGGGAGGTACTTTCGGACGACAAGACAATTGAGAAACAGCAAACTGGTGTCCAGCATAAGGAAGTCGTAACTGGCATTAATGAGGAGGATCTTACTCGGAATCAGTCATGGTCCCAATGGGCTTGGTCATTTGTCCCTTCCTTCCCTTCTTTCTCCTCCATTTCTTCGGAAGACGATAGTTACGACTTTGATCAGGACGAAACGTTTCTTGAATACCTTGAAAAACTAAGATCGTGTGAAGCGCGCGCCGAATATGTGAGACTCCTCTACGAAGATGGACTCGCATTGCCTGATGAGGCCGCCAAGATGGCTCATTATCGACGCAGATGTCTATGGCGTTTGCGGAAACACAAAAAACCTTTGCCGGCTCTCGTTTTGGGTGTTTTAATGAAAAAAATTCAACTTCATATCAAGGTAGATTCTCTTCTGCTCGCATCACGAGGTGTCTTTTTTAGGTTTCGCATCGAACACACACGCAGAACAACTCTTCGTCTGCAAAGAATTTACACCCTAATGAGTCCACTTTTGACTTATTCACGATCATTACTGAGGTATTTTTTTATTCCTTACATAGTCTAGTCAGTGCGCATGATATAAGACAAATCTAAATTATTTTAGAATCTCGGATTTCAATCAGTCCGTGATAGTGGATGCTTCACCAGCCTCCAAGTCGGCATAGGACTGCTTCAAATCAGTCCATTTGGGGAGGTCTGTCCATGTGGCAAGAAATATACCATGCTATTTCCGGTAGGTGCATGTCTAAAACGATATCTTGCCTCTGTCAAATACATCCATTTTACACCTTTAGCGTTACTCGTTGAAATTTCACATCGATAAGGAACAAAAAAATTCATTCATTATTTAATCACCCATGTTTAGCACTGCTTCCCACACCATTGCCTGTTTTTTTTTTCGATTAACAGTGCAGTAATGTGCTTTAACGCCCATTTTCGCTGAAACGGTTTCATTTCTCTACACTTCTCTATCGTAATGAAATTTATAAGAAGGTAATGCATTCGCTTAGCAGTCGCTTCTTTGATAATAAATCATCTCATTCTCTCCACCTTGATATCACCATTAAAGATCTGGAGTAACTCAATTATTAGTGAAATCGCGAAGATAATGATCAAGTCTGTACTTTCACGTAGTGATTTTTCAAATGGGCGAAACTGTTTATGGCCAAATATGCTTGATATTTTCATATATTTGTTTTTAAGATCTTGTTATCAATTTCAGCTTCACGACCTACTTACACTTCACCCAAAGTCCGAGCTTCTGACTGTTAGTGAAAGTTCTGACCCTTTGGTCAAGGCTTTTTGTGGTCTTTTTGGTGCTGAAACATCGCATTCAAATGATGTAGTCGAAACTTCCGCGTCAGACAACCCCTTTGATCGTAATCAAGGTGTTATTGACGCACAGCCATCGTTTCCTAATTTATTTGTGCTTCCTCCGTTCTGCCGAAAGGATTACCATTCGACTTACGGATCTGACTACCCACAACACAAACTTCCTCTTGCCCTGTGGTTTGAGTCAGTCTTCTGTCAAGAGGTCGAAGAAGAATCTATGGAAGGTACCAGCTTTTCATCATTATCCAGCAGTCGGTTTTTCCAATCAAGTCCTTTGTGCGATTGCTTGATTCTTCATCCATGCATGTTTCAGAGCCCTTGTTATTAAGGTTAAGCATATCCCAACTACAATTTGTCGCAACTCAAATTGACCTAACCTAATAACTTTATTATTTTCTCGTCGCGTGATCGCTTTTTCACGGTCTACTCTATACACGGAGATTTGGCACTTCTTTGTGTAAATTATAGCTATATGGCAGTGATGGCGCCTTAATATTGCCTCAAGCTTCCCATATGAAATACATTAATTTCTCTTGTTTAGGTTTTAAAATCCGTTAGTATCGTCAAGTATTAGGTTTTTTACTATTTCTTGTCTTTTATGAAATTTTAGACAGCTCAGATTGTCTGTTGGATCCAGATCCGATGGTTTACTCATTCAGCAGATCATTCCTTGATGAGGTCAAAGTTAATTTCACTCTCACCACTTCCCACCGACTGCAGCATTTCTTGGAATTACTTGCCGAAGGTTCCAAAAATTACAAGGCCTGTTCTGATTGGGCTTCTCTTTATGGTTAGTTCTCTCTCCCTTGCATAAATTGCACATCCTTCCCATTAAGTCAACCAAAGTTTTTTGCCTCCCTTCTCACACTTTCGATTTGTGAAATGTGTGGTCAGCAAATAAGCTGATACCACTGAAACTGCCCAAGTATTTATTCATGTAAATGGATGTTGGTTTTACTTTGGGACTACAAGACTTGCACTATTGCTGTTTAATTGTTTTTGTTTTTTTCTCATGAAAAAATCACGTTGTATTACGTCGATTTCATTAAATTTCTTATGCGCTCTCACCTTTAGGCTAGTAGTCATTCATTTAAAGCGGCACAATAGGTAGCATGCAAACTTTACATCATTTTTATTTTTCTAGCTTTACCTCAACAGGAACCGGTGGATAGTTGGATACTTCAGGAAAGGATGGTTCGACTGAGACATTTTACTCCGATTAACATTAATCGTACCCAAGTAATGTCTCTGTGTGTTGAAATATTTCCCCCAACTCATGATTATCATGTAAGCCTCATCTGAGCATTGCAACGTCTTATAATTCTTCACATTCGATCCTTTTTACCGTTTTATGTTTCCATTAAGCCTTTATCAATGCTGGTACGCTCTTAATTCCGTTGGGATAAACCATAACTAGGTTTCATTGCATCAAGTGCATATTTTTTTCGTATAAAAATAAATAAGTGTCTGCCTACGCATTCTTGTTTGGTCTCTGTGCGATCAACATTGTTATTCTCATGGTTTCTTATAAAAGTGGGAACGGATAACTTATTTTAGTTTGCATATT